AGTGGCCTCGAGGTTCGGTTCGTTCCACTTCGACGTTCCGAAGTGGAACGAGTGGGACACTTCAAGTCGATTCGATCCACCTCGCGGCAACGCTAATTTACGGGGAATTGAGGTGGACTGATGGGATCACCGTACTGTACCCGATATGGAACGTGATCGATCACTGACCAGCAGCAGCAGCTGAGCAGCTAGCTTCAGCCTGTTCAGTATTCTGCCGTAGGTGTATGAACTAGAATTAATTTATTTGACAAATTTGACGGTGTACTGCTTGAGGCTGAGACCACGCTCAACTTAAACAACGACACTGAGCAGGAAAATCAAGCATATGTCCTTGCGAATCACGATACTCTGACCTCATAATTTCACGATGATAAAAAGTCTACAACGGCCGATGCTTTAGTATAGCTCTAACTGCAAAGCTTGGCACGTAGTGTTGTCGCATAACTTAATAATTAACCTGTTCTGGCAACTATTCAGAGGCAACAGTTTAAACGTGTAAATAGACATTTGGCATCGCTAGATCTATAGATAAAGTTTTCTCGATGTTCAAACGCTGGGTATCAAAAGCCATATCTCTTTTTAGTGCCGTCATATCTCAGCTCTGTTGAGATACGGTTCATCATTCGTTCGTTTTTTGCTGGTCCTTGTCGAACATCGGGACATTTGATATCTTATCTGAGGGTCGAGACGACAGAGACAGCCGACCAGAGGTAGAAAAGTATTTCCTTAATTTCAGTGTCCCGCGTGTAAAGCATATCATACTTCTTTTTGAACTATTCGCTGACTGGATTCGCGTGCTAATGGCACAATGCGCGATGAGATGTAGGCGTTCTACAAAGATGATATCCGCATTATTAGTTGATTCGTGGGTAAGAAACAATAGCCAGCTTGAGATTGAGGCAAAAGTGAACAAATCGTTGAAACTATGAGCTCGAGAGTTAGGATCTGAAGAAAAAATGACATGTTGAATGATCAATGATCAGATGGAAAAGAGGTGAAAAAGATGACAATATTGTCAGATCTAAGATTACATTGCGTGAAAGTCGTAATCAGTTCGCACCGAAAGAAATTTACAAAAGCACGGGAATAGAAAGCTAAATAGCCAGCAAGGTGTAGCATACGATTGTCCTGGTCAGTCTTGCAAAGTAAGATTCAGTTCGTGCGTCAAAAAACAAATTACGCCTCTTTCGAGATCCTTTGAATCTCTTCAACACCCTCATCGTGCTCCCAAAAGTGCATACTGTCCTTCCTCTCTCCATTTTCGTCTAGTCCAGCAGCAGAATCGTGGCTCATCACTTCTCTCTCGATAACAACTTTATCCGCCCCGATCTTGGAAGCGGAACCTCCGTTCGTGCCCTTGAGTTCTCCTTCCCTCACTCTTCGAATTTCCATTTCTTTTTCTTCTAGTTCTGCGCTTCCTTTCCAGCAGACCTTATCAACAACATGTCTGATAAACAAGCGAAGCAGGATGAAGCCATGCGATGCAAGAAGTGCAATAAGAGCAGCCTTTAAAAGGAGGTCGGCGGTTGCGCTGAAAGTAGCAGATGAAGCCGATGAGTCGACACCCCACCCACCGTTGGGAACGGCACCGGCGGCGGAAGCGAGATGTTCTTCGACCACCTGTTTGGAGCCAGTGAAGGAAGCTGCAGCAGCATTTGCAGAGGCGTTGCTGGATGTAAGAGCTCCATGAGTGCCAGATGGCAGCAGTTGCGGTGAGAAGAGGTAGACAAGGGCCGCGTTGCTAAGAGCGCCAAGCCACGTCAAAAAGGTAAGTGCTTCGAGCCATGGCCCAATGGTGTCTGTCCTGGTCGGAATGGGTCGGCGATGGTGGACCGTCATCTTGAATGCATCAGAACGAAGTTCGAGGAGGTTATTCAAAAAAGCCATAGCTGAAATGGCGGTGTCAATTTGGGTACGAGGATGATATGAGAACAGGAAACTAACCTCCGGCAAGAGGCCAGATAGTGGACCAGAGAGTGACGTATCCAAATTGCACAACCATCTCGTTCAAATCAACAAAGAGGTCATATTCTGGTAAGGCAGCTTCTGCGCGAACCATGTCAAGGAATGCTCTCTCTTCCATCCCACCTCGCTCCTTCTCGTCCTCAAAGACAACGCGCTTCTTGGGAGTACCGTTCGACGAACCAGCATCCGATCCATTGGGTGGCGTTGTCGATAACGGCGATACTACGGCCTTTGTTGACGCCGCAGACACATCTTTCTTTTTCTTTAAACCATCTACCCATCGAAGAATGAACGGGAGTCCAATCTCAAGGAAGGTGCCGATTACTTGGTTTGTAACGGTATACGCGAACATTTGATCCCGCAACCGCGAGGGGTTGAGCTTGGCGCGTACGTTCGCAGTGTCAGGATCCCACAAGCCGCTGTAAACGTCGGCGACTTTCTCGGAAATGTCCCTAAGGTGATGAAGTTCTGGTTTGGTGGTCGTAATGGTACCGTTGAGGATGTCGGAAATGGCTGCAGCAAAGCTGCCCTGAGCTCGCGCACCGCCAAATAACCAGGCTTGAACCCATCGCATGACACCTTCCCCAAAAGGCACATAAACAAATGCGGACAGCGCGAGGCCAAGATACGCCACAATGGCGCCAAGCGCGAAAGTTTTGAGGGTAAGGGAAGCATTGTACGAGGATTTATGGCGATGATTTTCCCAGTTGGTCAAACGAACAGCAATCGAGTGGTAAGCACCTAAAAATTTAGGAAGGAGAACCACGAAAAAGATCGTTGGCGAAAAGGACTAGAATGGAATCAGCACGCAGTTCAGATGTCATAAAGCGAGTAAGAGATGACGCACTAAGAACTTTTTGCCAGGGCCTTCATAAAGATGTGTGATAAAGGCTTCAAACACGAAGATGCCAGTAAGGATAGCTGTTAGAAGGCCTGCCCAAAATATAATCACAGGAATACTCGCGAAGACGCGGAGCTCTCTCGACCACCAAGCCATGCCTGGCTTGTGCTGAGCGCGACATTTCTCGACCTTGAACGAACCTCGTGTTGAAAATTTCAGGGATAGTATGCGCTCCTGCACGCGCCACCATTCCACAAACACGATTGACCAAATGGATAGGAGAACCGAGTAGATTGGTGAATACGCGGGAAGGAGGAAATGAGCTCCGGCACCCAAAGCAGCTGGAACAGCTAGAAAACGCGTGTAAGATGCAAGAAAGGCGAAATAATATGCCAATGCATCGCCGAACTGGTCACGAATACGTTCCAGTTGGACTGAAGCGATGTTACGCGGCTTCCATGCCCTAATCCATAGTTCATTGAAGTTGCGGTCGTGCAACGGAAAGATGGACTCGATCAGATCCCACTCCGGTGCATCGGGTGAAATACCAAGGCCACCATCAGATGGTGTGGATGTTATGAACGAATGTACCAAACGAATACGGTCCGCTGGCGATAACGGCAAGACATTTGGTGCGGGTGTGACAGGCAAACCCGACAAGAAATCTGAATGACTGCGGTGAAATGTCAGGAAAACATCATATCACAATGTAGCAACTGGGCCCACCGTTCTCGTTTGACCAACTCTCCGACCAGCTTCGGAGGACAGACTACAAACACCAGAATATGCCCTAATTGTTCACCGCGCCTTCCAACGGCTTTCAACCCCGCATAACTGAGACTTTGCAGGAGCCTGTTGTACTGCTGCTCTGCCTTTCTTGCATCTTCTTTTGTCTGCTGCTTCGACAAAGACAAGGCCTTGGTCGTCCTGAAAGCAATCACCAGGTCGACATCCGGTGGTCTTATTTCTGGCATGATGGTGGTGGAGGTTTAAAATCGAGGTCTGACGTCGCGAATCTTTGGCGTCATTGACGCTGCAGCGTGCAGGTTGATTGCTCCTGTTTTGATTTCAGGCACAAGCCCCTGTCGATCTTGAATTCATAAGCTTCAAGACCATCGTCGATTCCCGCCATGGTCGGGTGATAATTAAAGTGCTCAATGAATAAAGA